AGCAGCGCCGCGCGCACTCGCCGCAGGGCCACGCCCCCTCGCCTTCGCCACAAAGTGCGGGCCTCTGGACGCATGCGCGCGGCGAGCCTCCGGAAAGGGCGGGGAAGGTGAGCGAGGTGAGGATAGGGCCTGCGCAGAACATAGCCCCAATCTTCTCTTCCTCTCCCTGCCGCACCGAACTTTGAAGCAGTACTAATTTTTTAAAAATTAAATTTATTGGTGCATTTAAAAAATACAATATAATGACATTTATCACTGGAAATTTATACCTTGACTTAATCTATCTTGGTTCTTATGCCCCGCCGTATTCCCCTGCCCACCACCTCCCCTTATTAAGTTTCCATTTTTTCATTTTCTCATATTAATTCCATTCCCTTCTTTCCTTTTCCCAACCCCTCACACTTCCCCTTCCCCTTCGGACCTTTTCTTCCTATTTCACAATATCTATTATGCCTTTTGATCCTTATTTACACTTTTAGTTTCTCACACCAGACAAAACTGGTATTTACACATATCTGTCCTATTTATTTCACTTAAGAGTATCGCCTCAATGTGAATCCATTTAGCTATAAATATCTCTAATTTTTCTTTATGGCTGAGTGGTACTCCATTTTATTAAAAAAAAAAAAGAAAACCCACACATTTTCTTTATCCATTTTCCAGTTGGGCAACTGGGCTGTTTCCAAGTTTTAACTATTATAAACTGAGCAGTCCTACTTTTTGTGGTAGTTAATGTACCTCTTTGTGCAAGACTTGGAGGTCCAGGTCATTCATTCTTTCTGCAAAGGTTCTTGAGCTCCAGATGCTTATGGGGCCTGTGCTAGGAAAGGGGCAAAACCATGGTCATCGTTTGGGCTCATCCTTGAAGGTGCTCCCATGTGCTGGGCCCCGCGCCGCAGATTTGGCGTTCGGCTTCATGTGTATGGAGGACTTAGAAGCGCTTTAGCTTTCTTTTTCTTCTTCTGCTACAGACATGAATCCCCTGGCGAAATATCCTGCACCTTTTTTTCCCCCTTCACCACCAGTGGGACCTCAATAAGATCTGGACTCTCGAGGCTTAAAGTGCCTTCAAGGGAGTCCTAGCAGAATTAACAGGTCTCTCCTGGGGTAGCAGCCTTTGCCATAGACTCTAGACAGCTTGCTCTTAGTCCCTGACTCCATAAAATGTTTATGTTTCAAATCAAGTAATACAAACACCTGGCGATCCTTTAAAGGCTGGAAGTGTTATGCTTGTTTTGATTCATTCTCCCCACCCCCAGCTTTACTGAGATATAATTGATGATTCGTCTTTTTAAATAGAACAGTAAAAATGCCAAGCAGCCTGCTGTGGTACCCGCCCTCCGTCTCCACCTGTCTGCCTTCACAGTGGTGATGACTGTCTCCAGAATGGTGTGTATCATTCCCAGGCATGCCCAATATGCACACTCGTGAGCAATGTTTCTTTTGCATATTTAAACATATAATTAAATGGAATTACACCATACCTCTCATTTTGCACCTTTCTCCTCTCTCAAAATTATACTTTTGGTTAAATCTCTAGTTAAAATTTCACTGCTTATTGTATGACTGACCCATAATTTATCCACTCTCTTACTGAGGGAGTTAATTTTTCTATTTTAATGAAATTTCATTTCATGGAGCAGAAATGAACATTATGTACAGAAGATTCAGCTAGATCAGAAATGGATTTGCTAGGCAGTTGTCAACTTTATTAGCCAATGCTAACTTGTTCTCTGAATCAATGGCACCACTTCCATTGACAGCATATGTACTTTGGAGGCCTCAATGGACTGGTGTCTGACTCATTCCTGAGAACTCTGAACAGAGAGAACCTAACCGAGGCAGCTTGAGAAGGAGGTAGGAGGAAGAGAATGATGGCTACAAGGAGATTAGCTGCATGCATGGAATTTGTCAGCACAAAGGATGAGTAAGTGTGCATGTGTGGGCCCTGAGTTAGCCAGCATGAGATCACCTTAGATCCTGTACAAGAGGCCTAGAAACAAGGGCAAATAGACTTCAGCACAGAGAACCTAAAGGCAATGCCAAATGCACAGAAGCTAAAGAACTACATTCTCCTTGCCAAAGGACCCGCAGGTGAGTGGTTCCCTGGTGATGGGATTGACGGGGGTAGCTATATGAATGCCCACAAGAATCAGTTTTAAAGAGAGAGTTGATCTTCTACAGCAGAAATAATAACATGTATGACTCCTGCTCCCTTTGTTGCACTGTGTAACCATGGTAGTATAGAGGATGAAAGACGACTTGGAGAAGAAACTTAGTTAAATCACAGAGAGGCCCAGAGTATCTATCTCAATGGAGAGCACCCAGCATTACAGAGACTCCCAGGAGTAGCAGCAAAGCCTAGAACTCTCTGGCTTTTGTTTAGCATATCAACGTAAGAGGGGGGAAAAAAGCAGAAGGAAAGCAGTTTGTGCAAGAAACTGTCTCAAGGGTTTCTTGGAGAAAGGGAAAGGACAATGGCCAGACACAACATGCTTCACTAAGTTCATTTTGTTTAACTATTTACTCCTCAGAGAGCCTCTGTGCTTTCACCCTGCAGTTTAGCAATTTACTCCTCAACCAAAGTTCTCCGCACCCCTTTAATCTTCTTGCTGCTACAGCCTAAGGAAGGTAGGTTGAGGGGCAGGAGCAGTGTGGAAGAAAGCTTCAGTGGAAAAAGAAGAGAAGCCCACCATTTTCCTTCCCCAAAAGCCAGCCTCCCACTGGGGTAGGCCAAAGCCGAGTAAGAGAAGATGCCTCGACTGTCAATCAAGTTTGGAGTTCTGAATGGGTATACTGACTACTGAAATGATACTATTTTATAACCTTAAGAGGCTGCACAGCAGTACTTTTTAAAAGCTAAGAGTATCTGAATTTACATATAAGCACAGGAGAAGAATTAGGCCCACTGAATTCATGTAAATTGAGAGGGATTGCTTCATAATTGTATCTCAAACTCACAACTGTTTTAATGTAACAAACAAACATTCCTCTGAGGTAGCTTTATCCTTTCTTCTAGAAATCTCTGGAAAGTTTTAATAACTGCCATCTGTTTTAAAAATTCAGCTAAACTATATATATCATTTAAAGATGAAACTTATGCATACACAATTTTACAACATTTCCAAAGCCAAATAAAGTTGACTTGGAAATTCCATGGTCTTCTGAGGAGGTACAGAAGGGGCAGTATTATTTCCTACAGTTAACTGGAATGATGAAGTATTTGTGTAGATTTCACCAACAAGCTGTTAAGCTCACCAGCACTTATGAACGACAAGGAGCACTACATTGAAATATAGAAGAGCAAATCATGTTTGTCAAAATGTAATTGATATTATAGAATGAAGAAGACAACTATTCTAATTATTAATAACATAAATGTTATAACTTTTTTTTGTCTCTCCTTCTTCCCTCTTTCTTTCCTTTCTTCTTTCCTCCCTCCCATTCTCCCTTTCTCCCTCTCTTCCTCTCCTCTCCTCTCTCTTTCTCTCTTTCTCTCCCTCCCTCCTCTCTCTCTCTCTCTCTCTCTGATAGGACCCAGGGCCTGGCATATGCTAAGCTCTGGGGTATCCACCCCCAGTTCCATTTAATATAAATGTTCTACTTAGTAGAACACAAAGAATCAATCATTTTTGGCAAATAAGTTATTATTTAATATTGAGTAGTATTTAGCATAAACATTAGTTTTATAGCAGCAGGCAAACATACTACATTTTTCTTTTATGCTATAATTCCAAATAGAAATTGAGTGACACAGTTCCTTCAAAAATAGCTCCCATCAAACACAACCAAGATGAAAAAAATCTCAGACGTGGAAAACTCAATCAGAAAAAGTATGTACTTTAAAGCCATCATTTTTTATTAAAATTATTTTTCCATATTGTATACAACCTGAACTTTTTAATTAAATCCAAGTATACTTTCAGAATGATTGTAAGGTTGAAAAGGCACAGTATATATGTAAATTACTACAAATCAAAATAAAAAAGATTAAAAAATTTTTAACACAAAATGTTTTAAGTCAAAATTCAGAGCATTATACTATTACCAGAATTTTCTCATTTGAAGCTTATTTTTTCCCATTCACTTTCAAGCTAGAGTAAGACATTAACCATAATATCCCAGAATGTTTGGCATTTATGTTTGATAACCAGACATATATCTGCTTAACCAAACTTAAAATTTAGATGAGTTTATTTTGGTACACTTCAACCTGAAGAAAGTGATCTCAGTGTATGGCAAGATAAACTCAGTCTTCTACACCAAACTTAAAGATCAGCTAACACCACAGACACAACCAAACTGAGATTTGTGGATGTTTTCTATTTATGACAATGTAAAACAAAACTGGATGACTATTCTTTTTTCAGTAAATGTGCTGCCAAAGAAAGCACTGAATGGCTATTCTTACTAACTGAATATTAACAATTTTGAATAAAGAAATTGTTAGCCACTCTACAGGTAGGATTAGGGAAAAATTATTTTATAACAGTCTTCTAATCTTTCACTTAAAAATGTATTTTACTGAAAAGAAATATGAAATAATTTGATATATTCAATTTCTGTGACACAAATGGGGAAATAATTTGTTAAAAACAAGAAGTACATTTTAATTTCTAATTTAAAATCTCCATTTAGGTCTTATAAGCTTTGAAATGAGAGTACAGCTTTAAGGCATCAGAATGACTAATTATAGATGATAATAATACAGTCTAACTCTATGAGGCAACTGTGGGTGTTTTAATTGGAAATAAGCATTCTGAGATAATGCTAATAGCAGTGTAAAAAAATGAAGTTTTAAAAAAATTCAGTGTTGAGGATCCTTCTATCCTTCTGGGATTTTATTTTAATCATCTCCTCCACAGAGAATGAGCAGTACCTTCCTGTAGTCTCCGGATGTGTCACCCTGGGGGCAAAGAAAGCAGAGTTGCAGTCAAATAAGTGGGTTTTTAAATGGAATACACAGTTCAAAGTAATCTAATTTAACGTTGTCAAGTTTGGCTGAGTACACTGGACCCTCAAGTTACAACCGGCCTGACATATGAACAACTTGGGTTAATTAGGTTAATGAAGATTTACCTGCCTCCTGTTATCTATAATGTGTACTTAGGTAAACATCCAGATCTCAGCTGTATTGACTTAGTTACAGCCAGCCCTCAGGAAGTTTGTAAGTCAAGGGTCCACTGTATTTCTCAACTCTTTTTAAAAATTTTGTTTATTTTTTATCACAAAAGTAACACACTTGTTCAGTGTAGAAAGTAAAGATATAAAAGAACAACATAAGAATCGTCCATAGTTCCACCATCTACAGATTACTATTGTTAACTTTTTAGCATATGCATATTCTTCCAGTCCTTTTTCTATGCATATAGATACCCATGTGATGAGACCATAGTTTTCTTTTGTATCCTGCCATCCCCTAGCTCCCAAATCTCCCCACCCAGGGCCTTCCACATGCTAGACGAGTGCTCTACCAGTGAGCTACATTCCCAGCTCCTGTACTCCACTTTTTTACTTAATAATATGGTCTATGTCTACTTTATTCAACATTCTTCCACAACATTAATGACTACAGAGTATTCCATTGTACGTAGATAAAAATAATTTATTTGATCATGCCTTCATCCTTTCCATTGCTGAATGTTTCTGTTGTTTCCAGTTTTTCACTATGGTAAACGCTGCTGCAATAAGCACATTGTAGCTAAGTTTTTGAGCATTTTCTTCATGCTTTATTCTGAATAAAATTTCAGAAAATGAGACACTGGATTACAGAGCAGGTGTTTTCTTATGCCTTTCGATATAGGTTATAGATGGCTTTCTAGAAAAGTTCTATAATTTCTAAATGGAAAATTTTTATGATCCAGTAATAAATCTTTTTTTTTTCTTTTAGTACTAGGGATTGAACCCACAGCCTTGTGCATATACTGAGCTACACCCCTAGCCCAATTGATTTTGCTAGTCCTTCATGAGCACTGAAAAAGGCAGAGTATTTGTCTACAGAGTTCAAAACTTAATAGTATCCTTTAAAATCAATCTAAATATGTCCTTATTGATCTGCCAAAGAATAAAATGTGTTACAGTTTCTTACTAGCATAGTATTTTGTCAGTGTCTTTCTTTTTTGGGGGCCTCAAGATTCTCATTTATATTTGATATAATATGATTTGACACCTCAAGTTTCATGACAATTTAAATTTTTTTTTGTGTGTGTATGTGTGTGCTTACTGGGGATCGAACTCAGGACCTTGTGCTTAATGAGGCAGGCACGGCCAGCACCACTGAGCTAAATCCTTGGCCCACAAAAAAATTAATCTTTATTGTAAATTGTTGCCTTTATTAATATAAAGTGATCACTTTCCGCAATGATTTTTCTCCTTAAAGTTTTCTCTTTACTTATAGTGTGATCCCTGCTTTTTTGTTTTGTTTTGATTTGTCAAATGCTTGTTCCCTGGTCTTTTTCTTTAAGCTTTTTATATGTTATTATATTTTAGTTATTTCTTTTTTGAGGGGGTGGTTTGAGACAGGGTCTCACTTATGTAGTTCAGGCTGGACTTGAACTCATAGTGATCCTCCTGCCTCTAGCTCTGGAGTGCTGGGCTAACAGGCATATGCCACCACATCCAGGAGGATTTAGTTATTCCTTAAAATAACATAAAGTGGGATTTTATGTTTTTATCTAGCCTGAGAGTTTATTTTTATTATTATAACTTATATTTTTTAATCTTTTGTTATTTTGCTATTTACCAATTTTATGCCTCTATCCTGTTTCTTTTGACAATTGTTATTGAATAGGCAATGTACTCTTTAATTTTCAGAATATTTAACTTACAAATAAAAACCTGATGAAGTTTATTGTGCAGACAACTCCAACTGCATCCAAGAAATGGTCTCAATTTCACATTTACAAGATTGTCCTGGTTTCCTCAAGAAGCAAGAACCCTGGCACCGCCACTATTGCTCCATCGCAAGGAAGGCCTGCTTGGGCCAATCCTAGGGACCAGGTGGCTGCACCCTCCCCCGCCTGCGCCGCTGCCATTGCTCCAGAGCAAGGAAAGTAGCCCCTGAACCACCCCCCACCCCCGGCTCTCAGACCTGATTGTGCCAGTCTTTGGACCCACTCTGCAGAGGCATAGGTGGTTATAAAGGGTATTTTTCTGAGCTCCCAACTTTGAACATCTTTAAAGAAAGGGCAGGGGAAACCTGTAGTAGAACTGTGTGGAGTTCAACCCTGCAGGAGACCGGGGAACTCAATCTGGGCCTTCCAGCCCGAGGTCAGTCTGTGTCGTGGGGATCTGCCATTGGCTAGCTGAGATCAGGGAACTTGGTTCTGCACATGGCTGTGCACGTTGTATATTATGACAGCAGAGATGTAGTCTGAAAGAGGCCCTTCAAATTCATTTTTTTCTTTCTTTTCCTCATTTCACTCTACAAATTCTTTTTTCAGTCCTCTTTCTCCAACTCAGTCACTTGCTCCACCATATCATCCCTCATCTCCCTTTCTGTTCCTGCTCCTGCCGTAACTCAGATTTCTTCTTTCATCATTTTTTCTTTTTTCCTTATGTTCTCTTCTGTCATTCTACCTCACTCAAGGGTCCAGAGTTTCAAGGGAAAGTTAGCCCCTATTACTGTTAAGGGGATATATTCTTGTCCTTACACTGTACTCTTTCATCTCTGCCTTCTACAAACTTCCTTTTCTGTCACTACAGCTTGTTTGGTTGGAAATTTGTTAAGACAAATTTTGTTATGTTATCAATATATCTTTGTACCTATATTCTATTGATAAAGAATATTAATTTTAAAGTAAATTTTATCATAACTATACTTAAATAAATGGATAATAAATCATTAATATCATTTAGTATCTGGTACATATTACAAATTCTCCAACTCCCTCAAAGATGATATCTGTTTTTTCCCAAATCACACAATCACAAACATTGTACACATCACTGCACTGTTTTATTATACCAAAGCATATATTGTATTATAGAAAATATGCATTGTGTATATGTGGGGGGTGTGTTTTTACACATATGTGTGCACTATTAAATGAGAAACATGGTCATGAATGTGATAGGATTTTGCACATTTGGCATATTGATAGTTTCTCTGGCAACCTTATGATTTCTCTAAGTTACATGTTTGATTTAATTCATAGTCATTTGGGAAGAATATTACATATGTATTGGTGTTAAATTCTATCATTACGCTTATAAAAATATAATAAAAATAAGTATGGGATATAATAAAATAGAAACAGAAAAATCTGATCTTAAAAATGTGAACTCTTAGTTGCTTTTGGATTTCAAATATAAGTATATTTCTTTTCTGTGGGAAGTATTGTTAGAAAAGGTAAGTGATACAATCAACAAGCATATGATATATTTTGAATTAATAAAACCAAGGAATTTATAAATCATAAAATTTTGAGGACAGTTTCTCAACTATAATATGTAACTTTGTTTTATTTGTAATTACATTATTTCAAAAATATTATATGAAAAGAAAATGAGAAAGAACATATAATGTTTGAAGATCATATCAAACTAATAATGTATTTCGATTATCAGTCTGTGTTGCATAAATTTTTGTTTATTTCATAAAAAAAATTTACCAACAAAGAAAAGCCCAGGTCCCGATGGATTTACTGCTGAATTTTACAAGACATTTAGAGAAGAACTACTGCTATTACTCTTCAAACTTTTAAATAAAATTGAAAGGGAAGTAATACTTCTAAATTCATTCCAGGAAGTAAGTATCACTTTGATTCCCAAACCAGGGAGAGACACAACTAAAAAAGAAACTATAGGCCAATCTCCTTAAAGAATATAGATGCAAAAATCCTTAATAAGATACTAGTAAACAGAATACAGAATCAAGAAGATCATACATCCTGACCAAATCGGATTTATTCCAGAGATGCAAGGATGGTTCAACATAAGTTAATAAATGTAATACACTATATTAGCAAAGTCAAGGACAAAAGCCATATGATCCTCTTGATAGATGTAGAAAAAGCATTTGACAAAATTCAACACCCATTCATGATAAAAACCCCACAAAAAATTGGAATAGATGGTCTATATCTCAATAAAGACTATCTATGAAAAACCAACAGCCAACATCATATTAAATGGCCAAAAACTGAAACCTTCATGTTAAAATCAGGAACAAGACAAGGATGCCCACTATCACTACACCTCTTCAATATAGTTCTGGAAACATTAGCCATAGTAATTAGACAAGAGAAAGAAATTAAAGCAATAAAGATAGGAAAGGAAGAAGTTAAACTGTCATTATTTTCTGACGGTATGATACTCTACATAGAAGATGCAAAAAACTCCACCAAAAGATTTCTAGACTTAATTGACACTTTTAGCAGAGTAGCTAGATACAAGGGCAACACCCCAAAATCAATAGCCTTCTTGTACATAAATAACAGACTCACTGAGAGAGAAATTAGGGAAACAATTCCCTTCACAATAGGATCCAAAAAAATGAAGTATCTAGGAATCAATCTAACAAAAGAAGCAAAAGACCTCTATACTGAAAACTACAGCACTCTGAAAAAAGAGATCAAAGAGGATATAAGAAAATGGAAAGATATTCCCTGCTCCTGGGTAGAAGAATCAACATAGTGAAAATGGTCATATTACCAAAAGTGCTATACAGACTCAATGCAATGCCAATTGAAATTCCAACACTATATTTCACAGAACTAGAAAAAAGAATCCAAAAATTCATTTGGAACCAGAAGAGACCTAGAATAGCAAAAGCCATCCTAGGCAACAGAGACATGGCAGCGGGTATAACAATTCCCAATTTGAAACTATACTACAAAGCCACTGTGATAAAAACAGCATGGTACTGGCAAAACAAACAGACCTGAGGATCAGTGGAACAGATTGGAAGACACAAAAACAACTCCAGATGCACTCAGCTATGTCATCTTTGACAAAGGAGCTGACCATATCCACTGGAGGAAAGATAGCCTCTTTAATAAATGGTGTTGGAAAAACTGGATCTCAACCTGCCAAAGATTAAAACTAGAGCCCTATCTTTCACCATGCACTAAATTAAATCCAAGTGGATTAAAGATCTAAATATTAAAACAGAAACACTAAACTTGCTGGAAGATAAGTTAGGCAGAACTCTTGAAGACACTGGCATAGGAAAAGATTTTATGAAAAAATCCTCAGCAGCATGGGAAATAGCAGAAAGAATCAACAACTGGGATCTCATCTTATTAAAAAGCTTCTGCACTGCAAAAGAAACCATTAACAGAACTAAGAGACAACCTACAATGTGGGAAAAAAATTTTAACCAGCTGCTCCTCAGACAAAGGACTATTATCTAGAATATATAAAGAACTTAAAACATCAGGCCCCCCCAAATATAAAGACCTGATTCAAAAATGGGCATCTGAAATGAACAGACATTTCTCAGACAAAGAAGTAAAAGAAGCAAGTAAAGATATGAAAAACTGTTCCACATCACTGGTCATTCGAGAGATGCAGATGAAAACAACACTGAGATTCCACCTCACCCCACAAAGAATGGCTGCTATCAAGAAATCAAACAATAACAAATGTTGGC